CTAGGGAAAATACAAGAAAAGAACTCAAGAGTTATAGCCCAGGATTACAAATGAAAGCAAACTAGCCGTCACTTTCATAATTCAAGATCAGCATAGCTGCTAAAATGGGCCACAATTTCTTGTATTTGGACTTCTAGGAACTGGACACATTCTGTCCATGTGTAATACTGCATGAATATTTCCTGTGTGGGAGTCAGAAGGACGCTGCAGCCAAAGCAAAACAAACTTCTGCTGCTTTAACAACTAATGAAAACGGTTTCCTTCTGCATCAGTGTTGCTGGCAGTCCCACAAACATGAAGAGTAGGTAACGAGCTGTTTCTTTTCTGTTTCTTTCGAAGAAAGAGAACTTGAGGGCAAGGTGGCAAATTCTGCCCTCATCGGGCAAGGCAGAGCTTAGATGAAAAAGTTTTAGCATCTGCATGGCTTAAGGAAGTGACATTCATCCCCACTTGCATTTTATGTTGTTCCCTACAACAGTGCCTACCAGTCATTGGGAAAACTGCATTGAGAAGTATCCTAGCAAGGACATGTTCTTGGGCTGGCATAATAAATCTCAGCCCTTGCACCTATGTTCAGAAGCACTGCACAAATGCCTGTAATAACTGTGTTTTTCTGGTGCAAGTACATGAATCCCAGATGCATCTACCAAGAATTAGATCAATTCAAAATTTTGGTAGACACAACTGGAAGCGAAATTTGGTCCTTCCTTATGGGAGTCTTGCTGAAGGTGTGGAAAGAGTTTTGACACTTCCTGGCATATGCTCTTGCAACATTTAAAACAATTGCATGGTGCTCCAAACCCCTCCCTCTCTGTGGGCTGAGCAGTTTAACTGGGTTTTAGTGCCTAGTAAAACACAGAAATCTGCACCACCTCTTTTTCCACCTCCTGGCTTATTTGCCAGAAGCTGAGCTTTGCTGTGCAAACACAGTTCTCACCTCTGTTTCACATGATTGCATTTTTACCCCCCCAAATTTTTATTTGTAGGAATGGGAGCACTGCTTATGGGATGAGATTGTAGCTAGGAAATGAGAGGTCATGGAAGTATTTTCAGTGACACAGCAGAAAATTATTTATGAGCTTCTTCTTTGGACATTTATATGGCCCAAAGTAGTGACAGTACTTCTTATCAAAGAAAGGAGCTGCTTATATGAGAAACGGATGTTTCATTTGCAGTCTTCATTTGGAAACTGTTAGAGTAGTGGGTCTGGAAAATGCTCTGCTGTGAGACAAACCAAGTACCAAGTCTAGCACTGCCTTGTATGAATTGCAAAAAATAACAGACCCCACCAAGTGAATCCTGACTGTTCCACGAATAGGAGCTGAAATCATTCAGGCATCAGATGGTGCTTATGGTTTTTGTTCTGTTTGAATATTTCAGATCGAAGCGTGGATGAAACAGCACGAAGGCTTACCTTCTTCCTTCTGTACAGAGATTTATTTTTCCTTGTGTGAGCTGATAGACAAAAACTTTGAGGATGGTATTCTTGAAAGATGAGGTCAGATACTTTTTCCCATAAAAGCACACACACTTTTTGATGGATCCTCTTTCATCTGTTATTACCTAGTTACATGACTTCTTTGAGTGCAGCTCTGGCTGCACCCCTTCCCTCCCTCGGGTCAGCACTAGAGCTCCCGTGCTCTCCGTGTTTACTGCAAAGGAACTTGAGCAACACTGTTGGATCTGTGCTTCTCCTTGCACCTCCTTTGAGGGGCAATGACAAATGTTCAGCTGAATGCAATGCTTGTTCTCAGAACCTTTATCAATCCTGGTTTCATCTCAACTTCCATTTTCACTTGGGGACGGGGAGCTGTGCTTATGGGTTTTGGATGCAGATTCAGCTAACGAAAGGAAACAAAGAGCTGAGGTTATTTCCACAAAAACAAGATTCTCACCAAAGCATCACTAAAATGCTCAGTTGGGAATTGAACTGGTGTGAACTCGCGGTTGCTCATTAGTGTCAGCCACTTCACAAACAACAGCTTATTTGGATGAACGAAAAAAGAAGAAAAAAAAAAGGTGCAGTGTAGAATTGATAATCTGATTTATTAACGCTTAAAATTTTAACCCTGTAAACTATTCTGAAACTTTGTGAATGGGAGCAGCAGCATCTGAGATATACTGTATAAACAGGCAGAAAAGAAAGAAAGGTTCTCATGAGTTTCCCCCAAGTTCGTTGTTCTGCTTGGAGACAGAGCTATTAAAACTCTTTTCCTGACCTGCTTAAACCTTCTAGGTAGCCTGAAGTCCAAAGCAAGCCTTATTCAAGTGCTGTCCTTATATATGTGTGTGTGTTTTTCCTCCCAACCATCAAGCCGAAAACTTTCTGTCTGCAAATTAAGTCAATTTCATCCTTTCCACCTTCTTTGTAATGAACATCAGTACACTGAAGGACTGCTTAGTTTTCTGTTTTTCAGCATTCTTTTTACAACTTCTCTCAGTGATCTTTTCTCCATTTCCAGTTCTTGTTCTCTTTAGGATTACCTCAACTTTGTGCGTATTTTTTTCTTAAAGCATGGTATGCTAAGTTGGACACAAAATTCTCTGTGAAGCAGCAGCAGTGAAAGTTATATATGTTTCTAGGCAATGTGGGGAACAGTTTCTTCCAGACCTCTATTTCTTATTAATTGCCAGCCTCTGATCCCCTGTAGTCTCAGTTCTTCCTATCCCAGAAACTCCCTTAGCTTTGATTCCCCTCTGTCACTGTTACCTTGGTAATGTGCCAGCACAGGTTATCTCAGGACACATCTTGAATTTTCACTAATGATACAAAGGTGCACATTGTTTGAAATTTAAGTTTTCAATGTGAAAATACAATACCAATACTGCATTAAAATTTTGTATTAATGAGCTGGAGGTATAACCCTTGCAGCAATACAGACCTGGGCCGATCTTAGATCCCTTCCAATAGAACTGTTCTATTCTATGTAAAAATTAGCTTTGCAGAGAAAAACCCAGTGGTTAACAAGTGGTGAACCAACAATTTGTCCTTGCAGCAAAAAAGGCCAACAGCATCCTGAGCTGCACTGACAGAAGGCTGGGGAAGCTGAGTGTTCCCCTCTACTCTGCACTGGTGAGAGACATTTGGAGAGCTGGGTCCAGTTCTGGGCTCCACCAGACAAGAATTATGTGGATGTACTGGAAAACATCTACAATAAACCATGAAGATGATTAAGGGATTGGAACATCTGACGTAGAAGGAGGAGTTGAAAGAACTGGCATTGTTCAGCCTTGGGAAGAGGACTGGGAAAGAACTTCAGTGTGTATAAATGTCTGATATTGGGTAGTAAAGATCTGCCACTTGGATTTCTAAACACAAGCTCATGGCTTGCACTAGAAAAGACTTCTCTCCCACAGCTCTGATTGTGTGGCTGTTATACACAATTCATAGAGGAACACTTCTGGATGTGTTGATGCTGTGTGAAGGCATTGGCACAGTTATTGTGCTTGATGTCCCTTGTCTCACAACATGCTTCACACCTTTTTCCATACTCAAGAAAGCAAAAATGAGCCCTTGCAGCACATTTGGTCACAGTATTTGAAATAACACAGGTTTCCTAAATGCAAACCTGTAATTATTTGTTAGAGCTCTGTAACCTGGGAGATGCTCACGTGCATTCACTTAAGTTTGGCCACTTAATCTAGTGTATGTTCAAGTAGGCTTGTCTCTGCAGGACTTCTGTTCATTGATTGAAGGGAAAGAGGTCCTTGAATAGGCATTACAGAGCACTTGAGTTCATTTCTGCTCTGATTCAGCCTCTGCAAGCTTCTGTCTGCCTCTGCTAATTATAAAGCAAGGACCTCCGAATGCTAACTCAGGTATTTAAGGTCAAGCACGCCAATACCTCCTTGAGTCCTTATCTGGAGAATTGTTGCCATTTGTTACTGGTCCCTTCAGCTTAAATGATGGCTTAGCATGCCTTTTGACCTGAGGAACATCATTTTTTTTGACAAAACATACTAGCAAGCTCAGCATTTGGTCAGCTGCTTCAGCAGGAGCACAGAGCTCAGATGCTAGGCCAAACAGGAATTTTTCTGTTATAATGATTGGAAGATGGTAGCTGCCCTTTCATGGTGCAGTAGACATTATGTACAGGTGTGATGAGAGATTGAAATAGACAGAAAGCAGGAAGGAAAACGTATGATACGAACCGTCTTGGCTGAGATCACAGCAATCATAGAATGGCTTAGGCTGGAGGGGACCTCAAAGACCATCTAGTTCCAGCCCCCCTGTTGTGAGTAGGGTTGCTCCTTACTAGATGAAGCTGCCCAGAATCCCATCCAGCCTGACCTTGAACGTCTACAGGAGCAGCCATTCCAGGTAGAAGGTAGTCCAGCAAGTGGTAGTTAGGACCAAACATGTCTCCTGATGACCTGCAGCTGTTAGCTACGTTGCCTTTCCAGACTGTGAGCTGCCTGCTAGCACATCTCCTGACAGACTGATAGAATTTTGGTCTATGTCACAAACCTAGCCCACAACACTAAAACTGCTGCTGCTCTCTGCTCACGTGCCACCCAAACAAGTTATTTTACACCACAGTAAGGTGGTGTAAAGGAGGGTACGCTCCTCTACCATGCCAAAAAGTAGATAAATCTCTACAAATTCACTGTAAACTGGTGCCTTTAAGCTATCGCATGCAAAAAGAATGCAGTTTAAATAGCATCCAGAAGGTTATTGTAGAGCAGGAGCCGGCTGGTTTCAGCAAGGATCTCTACCCTCCCAGGACCCTAAGTGCAGCAGAATTTAATGCTGAAGAAAATAAGGCTTGTGTGAATCATGGACTGAAGGGGTAGAAATATCCATAGCTCGATTAGAAAGGTGAACAACCCACAGTTTGGCACAAAGAGCAGAGCTTTCCCACAGCTGCAGCCATGCTCTACAAATGGCAGCGGTGCTTTGCTGAGGCTGTCCGGGGCCTTTTGGGAACATCACCAACACCTGGGGCCTCTTCCACACCTGTGTGGAGCTGTGCAGGTGTGGGGGATTAATGCTAATGGCCTCCACTTGGCCTCACAGGAACTGAAGGACAGCATAAAGAGTTGTGAGGTGCAGTTGTGGGGTTTGTTGGGGAGGCGTCTGTGGTCCTGGTTCCCCTATTTTTGCTCTGGCATAGCTGATACTGAGGCAAGGCCCAGCATACCAAGGTAAGGCGGAGGTTTTATCTGAGTGGTTGTTAAATTGGGTACTGGAGGCCTTGCATCAGCCTGGGGAACTGGCTCTTAGGAGAGGTGGGATGGGGGAGCTGTGGGGATTTTTGTTGTTTTGTTTTACCTAAGCTGTGAAAGACTTGCAGTGCCCTGTTTAGTCAGCTGTGTCTGGTTATATAGAGTAACCCTTTAGCTTTTTCTATAGCATATGAAGCTTACCACTTTTTTTTTTTTTTAGCTGCTTTAGTACAGCAAGCTTGTTGAAGTGCCCCCCAGTCAGTGGGAAAACCTCTGCCTGCTTTTAGTGTTGGAAATCTGTGTTTGTGCTGAGCATGCTGGTGATGCCCCAGTGGCAGTGAGCTCTGCCTTGGGGAGCTGCCTGTTGGCACAAAGCCCACAGAGCAAGCTGGTGATCTTCTCTTTTCCTGATGGCTCCTTGGACCCCTATTTATGTGAGGTAGTGATCATGAGGGCTCCTCTCAGACTGGAAAGGTGCAGGCAAGTGGTTGGGGCCAGCTAATGGAGAAGTTGTTGAGGCTGAGCAAAGCTCCTGCTGCCTTTTGCCAAGCCAAGAGCAGGTGTTCCCAATAAAGCTCTGATGTGGGTGCTCAGCTGATAACAAACATCGTGAATGGGCCCTGTGCTATTAGGCGAGTAATGAAGGCTGGTGTGAATTCTCTCATGTCTAATAAGTGTTTTACTTCAGTTGGGGCTTCTAAGAGCATCTTCATCCCTCACCCAGCTGCCTGTCCTGTGGAGCCCGCAGGCACTTCCTATCTCTGAAACCTCTCCCAAGTCTGTCAGCCTTGGCTGAAGTCAACCAGTGGTTATTAGAACAGAGGACAGGCAAGTGTGTATTTTACTATTCTGCATCCCTCCAGAGTGAGCTTCTTAATGTGTGTGCATATGTACTGTGACTCCTGAACCAATTTCAGGTTGAATCTTCAGCTTAGTTTAAATGAACTGGCAGAGGTTGAACTTGGAGGCTTTTTCTTTTTCTTCAGTTGTTTCCATCTACTGTTATATGAATATTCCATTGCTTAATAATGGGAAGTGGAAAACAAAATTCCAAGATCATTTTTTAAAGGATGTTAATGGCCATGAATGTAGCCAATATAGTTAACAACAGTCCAGGCAGAGATGGAAGACTCCTTTTGAGTAAGGGCCAGCATAGCTTTCTGACCATCCCTCCTAGAGAAGGGTCTGGATATTAAGGGATAAGTCACACTCGGTATTTCCTTCTTAGCCTCTTTATTCATTTATGCCTACTGGTTTTTGTCATCTTTAAAGGTGTTGTTTAGCCTGTTTTGAATTACTTTGAAACAAATGTCTTTAAAAAAAAAAAAAAGCTTTTAACTTCAGAAAACATTTTTATGGATTTCTTTTTTTTATTAAAAATACCACTTTGTTTCTTATTTAAGAAACATTCTCTAATAAAAATAATTCTTAATTGGAAGAGTGAAGGAGAGGAAAAACTCCAGACTTCAGGAAGCTCTGCTTTGTGAAAGCATGAATTCAGTTTTCTTGTACTTTTGAGTTGAACTTAAAAGTGTGGAAGCTCAGCAATGACATACCGTGTTAGTTAGACTATTAAGGAAAAGTTACTATTTTGTTTCCATAATCCAAAAAGCAGTATAAGAATTACTTTAAGCATGAAGCAATGAGAAGGTAAGGAAATACTGAAGGGGGTGGGGGGAGGGATGAAGACTACAAAGCCCCTAAGGCTAATGAGCCTCTTGCCTCTAGGTTTTACTTCATCTCCCCTTCTCTCCTTTGTCACTGTATTCTTCAGTCTCCTCCTCCAGTCTAGCTGCCTCTTAACCTTGTTAATACTTCACTTTGATGGTCTTAAGTTCTTGACAATTTATTCCAGATGTTTGCTACTTTGAATGAAATAGATTTCCCAAATTTCCTGTTTACTCTTAATGTCTTTTGTCTCTTTCTTTTTCTTTGAAAGTGTGACAATTTTTTTTAACCTTTTAGCAATCTGAATACGTTGGCCCACTGTTCCACTCCTGCCCTTGCAACTCCCGAAGCTTTGAATGCTTTCCTCAGAATGGATGCTCCTTTTTGTTGTCATCTTACAGGACGATCTTGCTGTTTTCCACCTCCCTCAGTTCTACACACGTTGAGGTCTGAGCTCTCAAGCTCTTTTCCTCCATGTGCGTGTTTGCCTAAAGTAGAAGGGTATCATGGGGAGAAACATCCCACTTCTGATATGTTTCACCAAGACCAAATGTTCTTACAACCTGAGGTTGTCTGCGTTGTTGGTTCCATCAGGCGCCTTCCATGGATAAATTATCTGGAGAGATGAGAGTAGAAGCAATGGGTTGGCAGCTCTTTGTTCACTCCCACAAGTACCTGATGTGGGAGCTCTGTTGGGTCACCACAGCCAACCTGGGCATGGCGGTGCTGTTGGAAGCTCCCGTTACACTAATAAAAATGTGTCCACTTCAAGGCGGTTGTATGGCTTTAATTATTCCCTTGTTTTCTTTAAAAACAAAACAAACCTGTAAGTGAACCAGTTCTCCAAGTAAAAAAGCTGTGCCTGGACCAGGCCTTACACCTCAATCTTGCAAATGCTTTCACATGTGTTTAACTTTACTGCTATGAGTAATCCTATTGATTTTAAATGGAGTTACTCAGGCAATAAAGAATGGATTTGTATGATCTGGGACTTACTGTGGGATATGTCAGAAGTCAGTCTTTTGAAACTAATGATTAAGTGAGTGTAAGAGGAGTGTCCAGCCCAGAATTTCATTAAAACAATGAGTATTTTTGCTTATAGGCTTGCTTTAAAGTATCTAGCTGTCTTGTCTGTTCTTCTGAGCACTGTCTCTTGAAGGCTTTTTTAAGCATTCTTTAAAATAACCATCTGGTCAGTGCTTGATGCACTAGGGCTTTCTATGTCTTAGTTAACTGTAGCTTTCCATTGAGGCTATCCCATGTGTTGGTGCTTTTTTCAATGGTGTTTTCTGGTTCCTTACATTCTAACACTGGGTACACTCGCACTGCAGCTTTCCATGTTTAGGGGCTCTTCCTTCTATCCAGTTGCCCATTTCTACAGAACTTCTAGTGATAAGACAGCTCTGAAATTCGTGTCTGTCAAATTGAGCTGAAAGCAACCAACTCATTCAAAAGTTATTAGGGATGCATGCTCATACATACCATGATATATGCATTATTTTTGAAGGAAGTAAGGCAGAAAAAATAAGTGATTTGATTAGAGATGGATTGTTGGAATGCTTCGTGAGCTTGAAAAAATGACTTTGCTTTTATGGCTGGTCTTACAAGTATGCTTAACCCCAACTCATCCCTCCTCCCCACCGAAGAGAGCAGAGGGGGAGGGCTGCTTATGCAAGTATGGATGGACAAACCTTTTTGGAAGTCACAGAAGGAAAAACTTGCTTCTCAGTATTTCATCAACATGAGCAGGCTTGGTGGTAGGGCTGACATTTGTGCCAGTTGCCAACACAGTGGGTGAGTCATTTCTACTCAGGTGCTTGCTGGAGAAGGAAACCTTTGAGTTCTGCTTAGTTAGAGAAATAAATAGGGGAAACAGCCCTGTTGTGCTAAACCACCAGCAATCTGACATCATAGCCAACTTTGCCCCAGCTGGCTGTGCTGCTGATCATTAAAGGAAAAGGTGTTTCACACATTCTAGCATCTTTTTCTCCTTTGTTTTAGAAGGAGAGATCTTTGCCATCTTAATTGGGGGAAAAAAAATCAAAACAAAAAAAAGAAACCCTCTAAGTAACAACAACAACAAAAAAAAAAAGTTCCCAAAACCAACACAATGATAAACCCCACACCACCAGCAAAACTCCCAAAGAGGAGTCAAGAAGAGACCATTCAGCTTGAGTGGAAGCTGATCAGCATTGATGATCTCATGCCTCTCATGCTTGCTTATAGGAGACAATGAGGAAGCCAAGTGTAGGGATGTAACACAGCAGTGAAAATCAAGCAACAGATTTGAGCTGCCTTAACTGTTCAACAAATTGCTCTGTACTTGCCCATTTCATTCTCTTTGGATCAGTGCTGGCATTTTAAGATCAGCTCTGTATGGGTGGGTGCTTTGCAGAAGTCTTCATGGCTTGCAAGAATTACAAGAGTGATTATGATAACTTGCATATTCATAATTGTTTCCTAGGCTGTGTGAAATGACTTCAGACCTGGTTTGTGTGCTCAGTTCATGAGGAGAATGTCAAAAACCCTCAGCTTTGGGGATGGGTGTAGGAATCCAGCACCTTTTGTGCTATTGAACAGGACTGTGGGTCCCATCTTCCCTCTTGGTTTTAGGAAATCTGTGATTCTTTAGAAGGCTGTAGCTAGTTTCCTCTCTCCAGGTTGTGAAGCCAGGCTGCTGGGTGCTGTTTCATCTTCTTCAGTGAGAGGTGGGGATCCTGGCTGCTGGCCTTACTCCTCCAAAGCATTGCTGTTGGGGCACTGCTGCTGGCACAACTTGAGGCTCAGCTTTTGCTGCTGCTGGCTTGTGTGCATCCTTCGCACTTTTCTGGCTATGCTGTTGTTAGTTGTGAACCTATGGTGTGGAAGACTGGTCACTACATATCATTGTCGTAATTTCTTTTCTCCTGTCTTTTTATTTGATCTGTAGCAATTTTGAAGCTGAAAGTGAAAGGGGAGATGGTAGAAAAAAGGTTGACTTTGGGAGTGAGCTGAAATATGTTTTTTTGGATCTCAGTCTCTGCTTAGGATGGAGTTCTATCTGCATGAGGCTGAATCAATGAATTAGAGGGCTGATGCATTCAAATCCAGTGAAACTAGAGCCTGTGCAGGAAAATGTCTTTAGGCTGTCAGAAATATAAAAGCCTGCAAATTCTTGCCATCTTTGCGAATAATCTGTTCTGGGTTTTCAGTGTAAGCCTACAAAGTAGTTCATCTCATTTTTTCTGTCACTCACATGCCCTTCAGATTCTGCTGGCAAGAAATAGCATTAGCTAACGCCTTCAGCTTGGGACCTTCCCCTGTTCTGTGTT